CGGCTTCGAACCACGAATTATTCGAATGAAACGATGACCCGGTCAGACATTTTAGAGAGTGTTGGCAGTGCGGTGAGCAACAGCTGGCCATCTCACCGTTCCAGGTATTCCACTTCCGAAGACTCACCACGAACTTCAGTGATCGACAGACCATACCCAATGATGGCTCGATCGAGGTCACCTCAAGCACAGCCTGAACGATTCCTTGATGACTCGCCGAGATTATCTTCCAGATTGGCAAATCGGTATGGTACCACTGATGATACCGACATTAGGGGTAATTTTTGGCCGACCGCTCCGCAGGCCATGAACCAAGAAGACAGGTGGTTCTCACGGTCCTCGAGAAGGCCGCCGAGGCCAGTTGAACCCTATCGAAAGTCAGCAGAAACCAAAACTCCGCTTATGTTACTTAACGAGATGTATCCACCGTCATTACTTTCGATAAAGTTGGAAAAAATGAGTGGCCCCGGCGACAAACCATATTATCGATGCATTGCCGACATATCGGGAGAAAGGTTCGTGGGCGAAGGCAAAACCAGAAGGTTAGCGAAACATCGGATGGCAGTAGAGGCAGTTGCAAAGCTGATTTCAAGAGAAAGACGAGGAGTGCTTACCAAAGTTGAAAATGAGCAGAAACTAGTCTTCCCTGTTAAAAGAAAGCAAGATGTCTTGGAAGGCAGTTCTGATTCAGATAAACGTGTCTTCGTCGAAGGAAAGTCCGTACTGCAAGTGCTGAATGAACTGTGTTATCCGAAAGGCGACGCGTACAAGCCGACGTTCCACTTTAAGGACTTGAGCGAGGAAGATGCCAAGCCTCAGGACAGGAAATTTTCTTGTACCCTGCTGGTTCATGGAAGAAATTTCAAAGCTTTGGCACAAAGCAAGCGACAAGCAAAACGTGACGCAGCATTTCAGGTATGTTTACACCATGGTTTATTTTTCGGCACCGTGCTTAATGTCTCTATTTTTCGGTCGTGAACGTAAAAATAAACTACAGCTTCCCATTGGCTGTTTACAACATTTGTTTGTAATGACAGGTGACAGTACTTCTACCGATCAAGCGTCATGCTGCAACATGTGAAACAATTATAACCAGCGCTTACAGACTGGGTTGATAAGTTGATCAGCAAGTTGCGTTTTAAATGTCTGTTTGCTTGCAGCTTGATCAAACTGCGGATATTTTGAGACGCGTAGAAAAACTTTATTAACTCTTGCTCTCTTAACACTTTCAAATTGACTGAATTTGACCTTAACGTCTTTTCGACAAAATTTCCGTTGGTATAGTGCAGCAAAGATCTGGGAAGCGGACATCCACTACTCAAAGGTTTGCCAGTTTTAAAAATCTTGACGGTTTTTAAGGTGCTATTTTCAAACATTTGCTTTGAACAGTACAACAGGGGGTAGCTATGGGATCTCGTATCAGCGTTACCATAGCGGAAATTTGTGTAAATGACTGTCAGTCTGCTGCTTTAGATCTCTAGTTTCTCTGAGTGAGATTTATTCATTTAAGTACATTGACGGCATTTTGTGCTGCTTTAATGAAAACAGTGAAAACAGCCTTCTTGTATCTTCTGATGTACGCGAGATAGCTGGAGCGGACGGAGTAGTCTGAGATGCATCTGACAACAACAGATGGAGCATTGGTCTTCTTACGTTACTTCTTCAGGCAACTACGAGCAAGGAGATGCTGTAGTCTGCCATGAAATCTAGTCTTGGTGGAGTTGTGGACGGTTTAGCATTGTTGTGACGTATTTTATTCTTTTGCTAATTACTCTACCCTCACTCCTGATCTGAGTGTTCTTGCGAGTCAGAAGTTAGAAGTGCTTTAGTCGCCGTTACACACCCTGGCTGCATTACACGGTTTGGCAAAGTCAATAAATCTTTAGATTAAAAGATATGAATGTATTCCTCTCCTCATATTATTGCTGTTTTCTCTAGCTGTGATTATAACAGAGCATGCAGTGCATGTGATATCTAAATAAGAGAAAGCATTCTGAAAAGCCTTACTTGACTGATCTCCGTAGTTTATGCATTAGAAAACAGTTTGCATCTAATTTTGGCATACTGTTTTAGGCTTTGACTAGGTTGTTCAAAATCGACCCGGCGTTGCTTGAATGCAACGATCGTGCGGAAATGCTTGTTCTCGTCAGCGGCAAGTGGCCTATTAAAGCATTACAAGAACTGTGCGTTATGAAGCACAAGAAATGTATTGTTACTTGCAAGGACGAGCATGTTGGTCAGAAAATGCATTTCAGAGTCATCGTCACGGTCGGAGGAAAACGGTTCGAAGCTAAATCTCCGGTAGAGAAGGAAGCAAAGTACTGTGTAGCTGTAAAAGCTATGAAAGAGATTTTCAAGCTTGATTTTGAAGACAAATCCGGTGTTGCATCCGGTGCGGCACCGTATCGGCTGCCGAAGCTGGTCCCGGATGTGGTCAAATCGCCATGCCAAATTCTGAACGAAATTACATCGCCAAAACGCATCGTAGTTCTATACACAGAGCTGCCGTACGACAAAGAAAACAGAGTTTTCACGATTGTCGCTAAGATAGGCGATCGGCAGTTCACTGGAGCTGCTGCAAACAAGAAGAACGCTCGTCAGGAAGCTGCCAGAAAACTTTTGCGTGAAGTATTCAACATTGAAGTACCAGAGGATTGGCAGGCGTTTTCATTGGCGGCTGTCAAAGCGCATTTAAGGAATTCCCGCACCCTTACGAATGTCGGCGATAGTCCATCCGTTAAACAACAAGTGGTCGGTGCAACGCCCTACACCGAAGACTCAATGGACGAGGCGTTGTGTGTGAAGTTCTCGTAAACTGATCGATTCCTCAGTACATCTAAGTTCGAAGTAAAGTCAGTATTGTGATGCCCAGTGAATCGGATGTGGTGATTTGCTACGAGAAGCTGGAAATATTCTGAGCGTTGGTGCCGATCGATTATCGAATTCTGCATTCGGCTGGAATGAGACAGAAATGCTCTTGTTCCCTTCATTGTGTTGTGTTGTTTGTTAAATACGCTTAGTGACTTTTTTCTTGTTCAACTGCATGTTCATGACTTTCACGTTTGTCTGTCATAGGTAGCCGTCACATAAAATTTAGTTTATATTCGTCATCTGCCGAAAAACCGACAGTTACGGATTACTGTCTTTTCTCGCTCTCGACTGAAGATATCTTCAATTTCGGTGCATTAGTGCGTGATGACCTAACGCAGATATTGCGGTACTGCAATATCGAAATATGATCTTGACTGAATTGGTAGAGACGACGAAACTATCTGGGAAATCTATCTTTTTAAACGATCGAATAATGCTCATCTTTCGGGTAAACTTTTAATAGCATTTTGGGTTTTATAATCAGAATCTGAAGTGTACATTTTTTATATGAACCAGGTTTTGGAATCAACGCCCAAAGAAATGCTTCATTTTCCATTTCTTCTAAAGGCTTCCTTTTTAACCTACGTAACAAGTGATTTACTTGAATGAGGGATAGGCAACTTCATCCCCGCGAAATTCTGTGTGTTCAAAAATTACGTCTAAGTAGCTTTCTTGGGGTGAATTGCTACTTATTTGTGGTGGTGCTATTTTCACTAGTGATCCTGACTGTTACCGTACCTAGACATTTTCAAGATCCGCAAGTCCGTTCGGAATGAAGGAACTGCAGTGTCGCTACAAATATTTAAAATGGCTGTTATTGTCTGCCGTCTAAAAAGAATTGCTGAAATTAGCTTGCTACTATAGAAAATAAACTGTCAGTAATTCGAAGAGAAGTTTAGGAATGTGACATTCGATCTAGTAGGCGCTAGATAATTGTCAGATTTAGAGGTTGTTTCTAATTGAAGATACTCAATACTACTGTTGAGATTTCTCTGAATTGTAACACGGTAGATGAAAGAATACGATGCACATTCTAACAGAATGCGGAGAAGTGACTTTTAGCATATATTGGAAAATTAAAGAGTATATTTTCTATCGTCTGGGGAAGTCGTCGACGAGATTGACTCTTGAAAAGTCATTGGCAGTAAGCACGTCACTGTCAGTTAATAAAATGAGTTCATTTGCATTAATGTAACCCAGGGGTAACAAATTGCAATTTGGTTTTGAGTGCCGACAGATTTTTTGCGCTAGTTGAGACAGAAACACTGCTCACTTTTTAAAGCTCGTTTAGGAAAGTCATTCATTTATTAACATACTTCGTAGTCACATATCGCCTTCCGTTTACTAAGAGACATATAAGGAAGCGCGTTTATTGTGGAGCCAACAGAACCCCTAATATTATGATATTGTCTGCACAAAAGTGTTTGCTTTGTGTTCCTCTTTTTTTCAGAAATTTTGTATAGCTGTCAAGTCGCAGCGCTTAGGATTGCAGCGGTGTTTTGTTTCCAACCGAAGCAAACGTTATTTTCCATGTTGATGAAACCATCAGGTTGCTGCATAATGTAAAAGGTATATACACTGATCGGAATGGTTCAGCTTCCGACAAATGGAAACTTCAAGCTCTAGTATCGTCTTTCCCGGTACAAGCACGAAAAATGGTACCATTTTTTCAAGGGATTAGTAGTAAGTTGCATCTGGCCTACGATGCTGCGGACATTCATGTAATTTGCAGTGTGTATTTCCGTTTACGCTTGTTAGTCTTCCATTGCACTGTCTTGTGGATGCGGTTAAAAATTTGCTTAATGTGACAAATTGTTGATGAGCACCTGCTTAAAATTACTGTTTCCTTTAAGCTGGAAGTTTCTCTTGACTACACACCGTTTCTGTAGATTGTACTAGTATCATAAAAAGGAGAAAAGTACAATTTGTTATTTAATGAGACTTGAAGATCGCAAATACAGTAACATTATTTCTCTGTGACGTTATTGACTGCCGGCTTCGGCGACTGCTGATTCTGACGGAGGTCTATAGTTCGTTTATTGGTTGTGAGATGTACATCCGACGGCAGCGGCGACGGCGTCGGCGCTCGTCTTTCATTAGTAAACAACAACAATGTGCCTCCATCGACTGGCGGCGTCGCGTACGACGTTTCCTCGACTCTCGTTGGCCCTTTGAAGTACCGCCGCCGTTTGAATCACGTGCGTGCGTTGGTGGTTCAGAAAGATACCGCCGTCGGAGCACCGAACTCTTGACTCGTCTGGTCCCGACTGATAAGTGGCCATTATGCTATTATATAGGAAAATAGATGTTCGATGTGTGGGTTGGTAGCTTTTTGTTGTTTTCATCGTCCGGTATACCTTTACTATGCTTGTTGACCATGTGTACTTGGCGGAACGGGTTTGGTTGTTTCTTTTTCGGTTGTTAGACGGACGGCTTTGTCTTTTTATCGGATCCGACAGTCATTGCACTGACTGTATGCATCCGCGAGAGCCAGTCTTACGTTTCGCTGCCAACGGTGAGGTAACGAGGTGCAGTGCGTCTTATTTGATGCGATGGTGTGTATTTGAAATGGCTTACTGTTTGCGCGGGCATGGACAGATCGACTTGACAACCCCTTAGTCAAAAATACGTTTATTTGTCGGGTCGACGTTAAAGGCCTTTGATGTGCATTTCCGTTCCAGCCATGGGACCGACCAATATTTAATGATCACTGTTCACTACTCTTCGCAAATATTAAATATTTCTCAATCTGGCCAGCATAGTAGTAGTACGTAATTGTTATTCATATTCAAATTAATTACTGTAATATGCAGTGAGCTATTCGACACAGTAGTGCTGCGTGCGTACGGTATTGTGACCAATCCTAATATTTGTATTCTTCTTGCAAATCGTTTCTACAAACCACCATAAAAACCGTTTGCCCTCAATCGCACACGATTCGGATAGTTGTCTTCTGTTTCTCCGTGTAGTTCCGTTTTGACGACGAAGCGATTGCAATTTTTGGTACAAGTCAGTCGTTAAGCCGTCGAACAGCTGCGGGCATCGCGAAAAATATTCTTTTGTTAACGCGTGTGTGGAAAGTCCAACAAGCATCATTGTTAAGCTAACTACAGTCTCATTCACGTGCATAAAAAGTAAACGTGGGATATTATGCCGAAAGACATTAATAAGCTTTTAACTGAATAAGCCTTACTTAGTCTGGACCCTTAGTGATTTAGACATGTTCATCTGTCTGATCCGGTCGAATTTGTCATCAATGACCCTGTTGTAGAAATATATTTTCTCTGGTTTGTTGTATAATTTCATGGTACATTTTCATTCTGTAAACTCTCTTAATGGTCTCTAGTTTATATTTACTGTGATAATGATCTTAACTTTTCTATACCGGATTTCACGGCGCATTGCAGCGCTTTCTCAGGTTTAGTTGCGTAGGAAGCCACTCAGATAGTTTGCGGTTCCATGGTATTTGAGCACCAGAGTACTTGCAGTAACTTGCTTAAATATCCCTTTCTCAGGCCGTTATGAACAAGACGACGATGCGGCACGTTGTAAACTATTCTTTTGAACTAGTTATGCATACCCGTCTGTGCATTTTTAAATGGTATCCGACGTATGCTCAGCTATGATTGCATAAAAATATATGTGCATAACTATAAGTACACGCATATACATATTGAATATGGTTATGGTTATATATATATATAACGGTTATTAATATATATATTAATAA